GCGCGGCGCCATGCGGGGCCCGGGGCTGGGGCTGGGGCTGGGGCTGCTGCTGGGCGCGGCGTGGGTGGCGTGCGGGCAGAACGAGACGGAGCCCATCGTGCTGGAGGGCAAGTGCCTCGTGGTGTGCGACTCCAACCCCACCTCCGATCCCACCGGCACGGCGCTCGGCATCTCCGTGCGCTCCGGCAGCGCCAAGGTCGCCTTCTCCGCCATCCGCAGCACCAACCACGAGCCCTCCGAGATGAGCAACCGCACCATGATCATCTACTTCGACCAGGTGGGGAGGGCGCGGGGGGCTCCGGGCGCGGCGCCGCGGGAGAAGTTGCCGGGGAAGGCGGCGGGGCCGGGCCGGGGACGCGCCGCCCCGCGGGGCCCTGCCCGCGGGAGGGGGGGCGTCGGAGGCGGCCGCGGGGCAGCGGGACTGGACGGCGGTGGCCCCGCGTTGGTGCTGACGGTGCCCTTCCCTTCCAGGTACTAGTGAATATCGGCAGCAACTTCGACTCGGAACGGAGCACTTTCATCGCGCCCAGGAAAGGGATTTACAGTTTCAATTTTCACGTGGTGAAAGTGTACAACAGGCAAACCATCCAGGTCAGCCCCGAGCGCCGTCGCCTGGCTCCGCGGGCACCGCGGGAGGGAGCGGACGGGTCCGCGGCCCGGCGGGGCCGGGGCCGTGCGGGGACCGCCGCGGGAGCGCAGACCTGCGGCGTCCCCACCGTTCGAGGGGACGGTGCCCAAAGGGCCGCGGAACCCCACCAGGCCTCCACTCGGCCCCTGCCCGCATGAGCTGTCCCGGGACGGGAGGTGATCGCCCGACGGCTGCCTGCCGCCCCCTCCCAGCCTGCCCGGGCCCGCCGGCTGCCCAGTGCCGCGGAGCGCCGGTGGGAGCATCCCTGAACAGAGCCCGTGGGAACTGCGGCCCCCAGTGGGTTCCTCACTCGCTCTCTGATGGCAGAAGGTTTCATAGGGATTTGGGGTTCACGGAGGTGCCTATGGCATGGATGTAATAATGAATCTGTGCATGTGTATGCAGCTACCTTATACATGCCTTTTGTATGTGGTTCGATGCATACACACCTCTAGGTAGGGTTAATAAATTACCGGCCTGAAGCCAGGTAGCATAACCCAGACAGGAATGACTGCATAGCAATGCACATTGCAAAGGTGAATGTGCAGCTGTATAGCACTGTTCTGGTGTAAGTGGCTTCACACCTCTAGATTCGGCAGGTAGTGTATTATTAATGTGGGGTATGCAGTCCCGGGATCATTAATGCGAGCTGAGCAGAGCTTATTGACTGTGTTGTATCATATTGTCTTTGCTGCCTAACAAAGGAAAACTACCTCTTGAATACACTTCAAAGGCGCTGACTCTGGCGGCTGTGGCTCTGCTGCTCGCTGTCTCTGAGGTTTCGCATAAAGCCATCTTTCAATAAGTACGAGCAGACCTCTTTTCATAGCCTGAAAACACAGGCACCCTATTGAAATTCTCCAAAATAGGATCAATGTTCTGCTTTATATGCACCGGGTGTTTTGATGTGGTTGTCGGTCTAAAACAGCGGTGAAAGACTCCTTCCTTTAGAGTACATACCTGAGCTGGGTTCAGATTGGTATTTCTTTTTTTATGGGACTGGAGTTTCAGCTGTCAAAAGAGGCCTTTTCTTAACTAAGCATCTCTCCTGCTAGGCGAGCCCCGGCGGTGTCGTTGTCTGACTTTAATTGACAGAGGGCTTTGTTTTATCTTGCTCTTTAGGTGAGTTTGATGCTAAATGGGTGGCCAGTGATTTCTGCCTTTGCAGGGGACCAAGATGTGACCCGAGAAGCTGCTAGCAATGGAGTCCTGATTCAGATGGAAAAAGGAGACAGAGCTTATCTAAAACTGGAGAGAGGAAACTTGATGGGAGGCTGGAAGTATTCAACATTCTCTGGATTTCTAGTGTTCCCACTTTAAATCACTTCTCGTCCAAGAAAAGGGAGAGATCTCTTACAAATTCCCAAGTCGTAGCTGGGTTTAAAGAGTCATGGACAGCAGACTTTTTACATTCAGATATTAAAGAAGCTAAATCCTGCTTAGGTTTGTGTACATCTGCTTTGAAGAATTACTACTTATTTTTGTTGTGTTGCGGCCAACAGGCGGGAGACACTATAATTGATCAAAACCCCATTTATATTCTTCTCTCTCCTCCCACAAAATTAGTTCCCATCTTTGTGTCACTGGTGTAATCTGCCATTGTTCCCCCATGGCTTCTGCCTCACACAAGTAGACTTTAGATATTTTCATTGTCCTTTACAGCATATTTTGTAGTTTTGTTTTTAAAACATGTTAATCTTGACTCTTTCTCTGAGTTTAACTTTTAAAAAAAAAGCAAAGTATTTTTTGAATACATGGATGCCATGATGGAAGGGAAAATGCAATTCTTGCTGTGCACTGGCTGGCAAAAGGAAAAATTTCTACATGAAGAACTATTCACAGCCAAGGCTGACTAGAGTATTTCAATATTTCTATGTAATTCTGAGTGATTGTGAAATTTAAGGCTGCTAAATGTTTTGATGCTTGTTTTGCTCTTGTACAATGTGGCCCAACCAAACGCCAGGAAGTATATTGAACTTTTACTATTACTCTGTAATATATGTGTGAATATCGAAAATTAATTTTTGCTTTAATTCAATAAAGTTTAAATGGGACTTTTATTTTTCTTAACCAGAAATAAGGTTTCTCAATGCAGGTAGGTGGGGGCAGGAGGCTCGGCGCGGTCCCGGGGCTTTGGTGCTGGGACCGGATCGGGCGGGCCAACCCCCGCACCCCCTTGCCCCGCAGCCCCCCGCGCGGGTCCCGCAAGCCCCGCGGGCGGTGCCGGCAGCCCGAGCGGACCCGTCCCTAGGAAGTTTGTCGCC